AATCTATAGTTTTTTGTAAAAGTGACGCCCTTGTTGATGCATTCTCAAATGAGTGGGCATATCAGAAGGAGAGATTTTGACATAAAAATACTAAAAATACCAAGATCGTCCGGAAAAACGGTGTGAGGATTCAACATCAATGATAACACTAAGACGACTCTACTTGCTGGGCGTAGCTGTACCAAGTCCTTTGAACAGTCTTGTGTTGCGTAATTCATGTCAGTAACTACCGCATGTTAGGCGCATGTGCGCCACTTACATCCCTGTGCGACGTATGCACTACTTAAAAAAGCTATTCCGAAAGTCCTTTTTTAAAAATTACCACTATTTAGTTACTCATACATCCATATTATCCTAAAAAAGAATTTGAAAGAAGCGCACACAATCGATTCCATTTCAATTAAAAAGTTTATTTTTCTAAAATTAAAGTGGGATAACTGATAATATCGCTACCTAGCCCTTCCCCTTTGCAGAAGAAATCTGTATGCAATGTGATGCAATCGACAAATGATAACACAGTCCCAATGATTATACGAATGGTAAAAATTAATGGAAAGAAATCTTTGTCTTGAAAATTTTTCATCAATCAAGTTACAAGTGTTTTTACAGTGCAACCGATCTTTATTTAGAAGATAAAAGTTGGAACTAACCCAGCACAGTAAGATGAACATCCACATCCAAACTTCCGCCTTTATTTGTCCCGACACATGTATAGATCCCTTCATGCTCCAATTGAGCCGATCCAATTAGCACCTTAAATGTTCGTCCAAATTTTTTAATTGAAACCAAAACTGAAATCCTGTCTCTCACCGCAATTTTTACAAATATAAAAGCGAACTTAAATTCACATCGCCATGTTACCAAGCGTGGCGTACTGGCGAGTAGCACTCCTCCCATGCTGAAGGACCAGAGTTCGACTAAGAAAGCGAAAAAATGAATCACTCATCTGTTTCGGTGGTGCGTTGATACTGGCACATGCCCGGGTCAGAACCATAATCAGTTGCTTCTAAGCAATTCTTGGAAATGTAAAACCATCGAAAACCCTTTTCCGGTGGAAGATTAGTATTGACATGGTCATTACTTGGGTTACATTTGAGTGCGATTTCTTTTTACGGACAGAAAATACGAGGAGGGTTTCGGTTTTTAACCATAACACAAAATTCATATTTCTTTATTGTCCGCCTCTGCTTTCAACAAAGTGAAGATCAGATTTCGGTGGTTAAGGACAACGCTGAAAAGCTCCCTATCTTCACAACCGTGCATCATCGCTTTAGCACAGAGTCAGAGGACCTGTTTGGAGGGTAAATCGTGCAAAAAAATGGTGTGATAATCGGAATAGCTGTAATTCACCGTCTGAGGCTTCCATCCAATGCAGCTGGGGACCTTTCCCAGCTGCACTGTCTGGCGATCAGCCTACTAGTGGATCAGCTCACTAGAAGGACATTCATTTAAAGTCAAGCAGTCATTTTTTTCAAGTTGATAATTTGGTGCTTCGTTGCCTGCAAGAAAATTTAGAATTTACCGATTTTCTGCTTGCTGAAAGCATTACGCCTTGTTTCGTCGAGCCTTCCTCAAGCAGTTGTCCATTGACAAGCCACGAAATGTCTGGATCCGGCATACCCGATATCGGACAACCAATTTCAACATCTTCATTCTCAAGCACTGTCAGCTTCATTCGATGAACGCTCTGATCCAGGCTTGGAGGGACTGAAATCAACCAATTTCTGAGATTCTAAGCTACGTTGGCATTTGGGCGCGGTATTAAGAAGCGATTTTTCGCGGATTAGAAATGGCTACCTCAGTTCCTTTGCTAGATCTAATGTCTGAGCCACATTTTTAATGTAATTTGCAGTTTCTGTTGGTAATAATCGGTTCTCATCTCCAAAGTTACTTGATTTTTATTCAATAAACTTTCATAGCTTTGCTTTGTCTTAGTGCTCTCCACTTATAGCAACTCTCAATGCCTGGTTGAAGGCGTTTATAGTTTAGATTTTATTAGGTGGCTGACAACTTTTCTAGTCATTCTGACCAGTGCTGCACTGTCCGATGGTCAACATGCTAGCTGTTCTGACGCTGAAGAAATTACCGGCTTTAATAGCTCTCCCGACTAAAGCAGTTTCAAAATGTCTCTGCCAAGTATTGAGCTTTACCATTTCGTCTCAAGGACCCCTTACTATAGTAAGGCAATTTGCCGACTAGGAGGCAACTCAAACAGATATCTGGGAAAGAGCAATAAGACAGTGTAAGAAAGTAGTCAACCACTGCGCTTACCGACAATTTCTACATGGAACGTCTTCGTGGATTCACCAGCTGGATTCCTTGCAACACATTTGTAGCTACCAGCATCTGTTATTCGCGATTTCAGAATGTGCAGTCGCCTCTGATCGTCCGAAAGAACAATATTTCCATCCGTTTCTGCTATTGGGTGCTCTTCTAAATGCCACGTTATCTAAACTGTGTTTTCGTTAGACTTTCATAATTATCTTTTTATAGTTCCAGTTTCGTTTACGCAAATGAGTGCTTATTTCGTATACCGTCTAATCTTTCATCTAATCATGATCAGCCATGAAAATTTGGACAAATACTATAAGCAACAAGATCAATCAGTGTGGGTACCCTATTTTAGTGATCTCACTGGGATGCTTCTTCACATCAGGCCTTTCGATCCTTAGTTGAACAAGCAGCATTATTCAAATTCACCAATGCAACTTCTAGGTATTTCGATCACAAATTAACGGTACTCAGGTTAAAAATCAATAATGTGCTGCCGTAACCTGTTGACACCCCTGAAGCATGTAGCCACATCAAGTCAGTCGCAGCACAATTTCAAGGGCGACCATTTTCTGTCAGGGTAATTCACACCAAAAAAGGAGATGGACTGAGCAGCTGGTAAAAAAGGAAGCGAGAGATGGAAAAAAAA